ATCCATCAAACCTGAACTTGGCCTCTGAGACAGGCTCTCCACTTAGCTCTGTGACCTTGGGAACGTTCCTCACTTCTCTACGCCTCCATTTTCCTGCCTGTAAGACGGACAAGGTAACAGCACGCCATTCCTAAGGCTGTTCTGCACAGCCCCCAGAGGAGGACCAAGGATGGAAATCTCATCCCGGCCCTCCTCTCGATTTCCCGCGCCACCACTAGAGGCAGTGTGGAGTAACGCAGAGGACGTGGACCTGGGGACCAGACTCACCGCGCTGACATCCCTGCCTTTTAGCAAGGCCAGTCTTTTCAGACACTTGTGGAAATGGAGATAACGCTTACCTCATGTAATAGTTATGAACATTAAACGTTAACATTTCCCAAGGCCTAGAACAATACTGGCACGGCTGAATTATTTTCCTTCTCTTTTTTAAATGGTCGGATTTTGAACATTGCTTCTAATATTCCAGGCGTGTGCCCTCTCCAAATACGATTACCACTCCCTCTACCAGTGATTCTCAACCTTCCTAATGCCGCCACCCTTTCATACAGTTCCTCATGTTGCGGTGACCCCCAACCATAAAATTATTTTCGTTGCTACTTCATAACTGTAATTTTGCTACTGTTGTGAATCGTAATGTAAATATCTGATATGCAGGATGTATTTTTCAGGGGTCGGGACCCACAGGTTGAGAACCGCTGCATGCCGTCAGGCAGATGAATGAAAATGTTGGACAAGACAGGACCAAAGGAATGCGTGTAAATAACGTCAAATATATTTACATTTCTGGAAGGATGGCTACTGGGGAATGCGCCTGAGCGGGAGATGTACGTATGCTTATCATGTCGATGCATAACTTTGATCAAAATTAAAACGTTTAACTTGTAAAGGAAATGAACGCCATATCCTGCTGCCCTCCTCCTCGCGCCCGCTCCTGCAGCCGCAGCCCGCTACCCGCCTTGGGCCCCGTCGCCCAGCCCCGCGGTTGCCAAGGTAAACATGAGGGTGGCGGTTACCAGCGCGCTGACAGGCGGGTGCCTAGCAACCGGGGTGCGCAACAGAGGAGCTGGCGGAAGTCTGAGCTGGGAAGGAGGTGAGAGGCTAGGGGAGCTGGGGCGCTGTGAGGACTCACACCCAGGCTCAAGCTCCCTCCCTTCCTCCCTCCCCCCTTCTTTCTCTGCGCCGCCGCCGGGGTATTAATTTAAACCAAAAAGGATTATCCTGGGGAAGGGAGTGGTGGGGTGCGCCTGGGAACTAGACAGAGTCCGGCTGCTCCTCCTCCAACAGGGGCTGAGGGAGAGAGTATGATGACCAGTTGGGGAGGGGACCAGCGCATACCCCCTCCAAAAAAAAAAAAAAAAACAGCTCCCCTGTGCCAGCCCACATCCCTTGCAAAACTAGCCCGCCCTCTCTGGATGGTGAACAGGGCTCGTTTTCTTAGAGCCCGTGCAGGTCCTGAGCACAGCTGGGGCGGAGAAAGAAAAGAAAGCGCCAGCCACGGGACTTGATTGCTGGAAGTAAGGGTGGAAACTGGATTAAGGACTATTATTCCTGCTAAACCCCACCCACCCACCAGCCCCACTAAGCACTTGGCAGCACACACACACCCTCCAGGACCAGCAGGGGCCAGGAATGTGTGTCTGTGGATGGATGGGTGGGAGGAAACTTAGTTAATACCTCAAAGTTGAGCAAATCGAGAGCCGTTCCCAAGCAGGCTTTCTGCAGCAAGGGTTTGGGAGCAAAATGGACAGGAGCAGGTCCTTTGGGGGGAGTTTTTTTATGTTATAGCAAAGGTGGAAATTTATTGAAGAACAAGTACAGACTCCCACGTGGGGAGGCGGAAAGAGTCCCTGGAGGGAGCTTTTGATCTGGGAGAGGACTGACTGAACCGTCTCGTCCCCCGCAGCCTTGCTTGTCCTCTCCAGCAGAGGTGGGTGTCTTGGAACAGGCCGAGGGGCTCAGCACCATGGCCACGCTGAGCGTCAAGCCCAGCCAACGCTTCCAGTTGCAGGACTGGCACACCAACAGCTACCTGCTGTCCACCAACGCTGAGCGGCAGCGAAATGCGTCCCACCAGATCCGCCAGGAGGCCCGGATCCTCCGCAATGAGACCAACAACCAGGTTGGGAGCGGGAGCTCAGGTGGGCACAGGGATAGCCCCTGTCCCCAAACACCCTCTTTATCTGGCTCTGTCTCTTCCAGACCATTTGGGATGAACACGACAATAGGACTCGACTGGAAGAGAGAGTTAATACAGTCAACCGGTGGAAGGAGATGCTGGACAAGTGTCTGACGGATTTAGATGCAGAGATCGACGCCCTGACACAGGCAGGGAGCTAGGGCAGGGTGCCAGGAGACCCCGCCGCAAGGACCTCCCCTCCCTCCCCACTTGGAGGTCAGGGAACCCTTCATGGGGTATTGAGTGACCTGTCCACCTGCGTCCCTCACTGGCCCCTCTATTAACGTGGGAGTGAGCGTGCTTCTCGGGGAATGGCCCAGCAGCCTCCTGTGCCTTCTCTGTTCCAGATGAAAGAGTCAGCAGAGAAAAACCTGCAGGCTAAGAACCTGCCCCTGGATGTGGCAATCCAGTGCCTGACCCTGCGGGACAGCCGGCGGGACGTTGACGTGGTGAGGGACCCTGTGGAGGAAGAGCTGCACAAAGAGGTGGAAGTCATTGATGCCACCAAGAAGGCCTTGCAGCAGAAGGTCAGCCAGACGTTTGAGAAGCTCTGGTAAGGGAGAGGCGTCATCCTCAGGCTCACCTGCACTTGAAGGCTGTGTGTCCTACGTAGAATATTTGCACTGTGGGTGACCGGCAGCTGGCTCTCCAGCTGCCTTCGGTCCCTGCTGTGCCCATGGCAAACACCACTAACCGATGATACCACTGTTTCCTCTGCCTCCACACGGTCTCAGAAGACTGCTCTGGGGAGCCATTGTCGATTGATGGGAAGCTTGGGAGATGGAGCCCATTGACCACCACCCCTGAGTACCCTATTGTGTGTATGTGTGAGCCCTTGTGAGTGTAACTAATACGTGTGCCCTTGTGGTTGTGTGTGAGCACGTGAGGGTCATAATTTTGTCTGTGAGGAGCTTATCCAACTATGCTGGTCTTTGTCGCAGCTGCAGCGGGGGCAGCTCCATTGTCACTCCATCCTCCCCATCCCTCGGGGGCCCTGGAGCACAATGGGGGCTAAGTCCTTGGGGCCGTGGAGGGATGGAGCTTGAGCTAGTCTGTTCCTGCCCCAGCCTCCTGCAGGATATCCGACAGCAGCTCAACTCTGACCATCGGGGCAAAATGGAGACATTGGACATTGACAGAGGTTGCCTCTCTCTCAACCTCAAGTCCCCAAACATCTCTCTGAAGATTAATCCCGCGCGTGTCCCCGATGGGTAAGAAGTGTTTCAGTGTCTCCTCCCTCACCCCACAGTGGCCATACTCTTATGACCCCTGTATCTCCTGCCACCTACAGCTCCTCATCACTTCAAGAGTGGGATGAAGTTAGTCGGTTCAACAAGAACCGGGCAGAAGCCGAGATGAAAGAAGCCACAGACCTGAGGGAGGCCATCGCCCTCACTATTGCTAAGGTAACTGACCACCCCCCTGACCCTGCTCTTCCATGGCTAATGGATGGCCCAAGTAAGCACTCAAGTCTTTAGCTTTAATATATATATATATGTGACCCAGGCATGTGCCCTTGACCAGAATTGAACTCGGGACCCGTTAGTCCGCAGGCCGATGCTCTAGCCACTGAGCCAAACCGGCTGGGGCAAGCCTTTAGCTTTTGTTCCCTGTTGGCCATTGGCATCCCAACCCTTCACTTGAGGAACATCCTTAAGATGGTCATGAACTTATACCCTGTCTTGCCCGGCCCACATCTTGTCCTTCAGACCAACAATGAACTTGAAGCCCAGAGGGTGGCAACGGAATTTGCCTTCAGAAAGCGGCTGCGGGAGATGGAGAAAATATACAGTGAGCTCAAGTGGCAAGAGAAGAATGTGAGCCTTCTCATTAGTCTCCTGGGCTTGGACTTCCTGCTGTGGGAGGAGGAGTCCAATGTCGGTCCAGCAAGCCCTGGGTGCACCGTGGTGGGTCTAGCCACTGGAGACCACTCACTCTGTCCCCTGTAGACCTTGCAGGAGATAGCTGACCTGCAGGAGGACATCCGGCACCTGGAGGAAGATCTGCACAGGAAGTTCCTGAACCTGAAGCTATGCCATACTCGGCTCGAGTCCAGAACCTACCGGCCCAATATGGAACTCTGCCGGGACCAGGTGGGAGGGCACCCCAGTGGGGCACTGCCCCCTCCCCTCCCGCTAAAGTCTCCTCAGGATCACTCACTCCCCAGCACATATTCCTGGTGGAGCAGGGGTGCCCAGGCCCATGGGCTAAAGGCTAGTATGGCTGATTCCCAATCCTCACCTCTGCTTCCAGGCACAGTATGGCCTCACTGACGAGGTTCACCAGTTAGAGGCAACCATTGCTGCTCTGAGGCAGAAGTTGGCACAAGCACAGTACGTTTGGGGAGTGGACCGGAGGGGCAGGGAGACACCTCTCACCCATGGGGCCTCTTGCTGCCTGCTGGCTTCCCCGCTGGCTTCCTTAGCCTTCCGCCTCATGCAGGGGTGGTGGGTTGTTAATGCCTCCTCCCCAGGGATGCTCTGGATGCCCTGTACAAGCACCTGGCCCGGCTGCAGGCGGACATCGCCTGCAAGGCCAACTCCATGCTGTTGGACACCAAGTGCATGGACACTCGCCGGAAGCTGACGGTGCCAGCCGAGAAGTTTGTGCCCGAGGTGGACACCTTCAACCGCACCACAAACCGTATCCTGAGTCCACTCAAAAGCTGCCAGCTGCAGCTAGCCTAGCCTTGGAGGCTGAGGAGGGAGGGGGAGGTTAGGAGGAAAATGGAAGAGGAAGGGGGTGGAGAGAATGAATCTAATAAATGTTGGGTTTCTCAGTCTTCTAGAAGGTTTTCTGCTACCCCTGCATGCAGCCAGCGGAGAGTGAGAAGGCTCTTGGCCCTCCTGTGAATGGAGAGGCATAAACGGGGACCATCATCCCCCAAGCTCCATGTTCCAAATCCGATTCCTTCTCCCTCTTTAGTGACCCCTCTCAGGAGTAGGCCAGCACCCCCTGGGCTCCAATGGCTCCAATGATTTCGAACCAGCCCAGCCCCAGCAGGACCCTTAGCTGCCCTCTTGTTGCCTAGGGAAGGCCCAGAGCAGGCTATGATCACAGTGGGAGTCGGGGACCATGAACTGGGGCTGCCGTCGTTGGAGAGCTGGGGTGACGGGGCAAAGAAAGAGGCTTCATAAAGGCAGGACCCGGGTGGCAGTGGCCTGAAGGGCAGGGCTACCGCGGTCCGATAGTCCCCTCCTGGACTCTTTAGTGGCCGTTCCGCCCGGCGTGACATCGGTTACAGATGGGGAGAGCGAGGCCTAAAAGCAGAGGCCTGGTGGGCTCCGACCAGCATTGCAGGACCTAACCTGGTCCCACGCACGCGGAGCTGCACCTCCGGACCGCTG